CACACAAGTAACATTAGCATTTAAAAAAGTAAAGTTAGCTTAACTGAAGACGGGCAACCAGACAGCTGACTTAAAAAGACACAATGAGAAACTAGGTTCTCTCAAAGCCATCCACAGTGTTGCAAATGCACAGCAGTAGCTAATGATGTCAAATCCACAGGCAGAGCACCATCAGCAGACATGTTGTGATGCAACTTTCTTGCTTCTTTCTTACTTCACTGTTTTGAAAAGCTCTGCCTGAATTTAATATGGTGTAACCTTAAACTGGTCTCCTCCTACTTAGAAAATAGACAATTTTGATGTTTCTGTAAGCAATTTTGTCTCTTCATTGTCCAAAATCAGGTTTGGAGGGCCTCAAGGATCAATTCTGCATCCATCTCTGTTTTACATGTATATCCTTTTTCTGGGGCATATTTGTTCATTGCCATGGCATCTAATTTTTTGCCACTGACCAACACATATGTTCCAATTATCTGTACCGACTCTGGTATGCTTAGTTCACCACAGGACATTTTCATTACTACAACTTTTTATTTGCCTTGGCAAAGCACATCAGGCAAAAGCTAATGTGCTTGTGGAATGGAGCTCTTTGCACAACTAGGCAACCAAACGTGATTTGAGAACATGAAACAACAATCACAACAATGAGCTATGAATTTCCCCTTACCCTCCACATACTCTGGTCCTAGGACATGTATCGGCATCAAAACATGCTTGACTTGATTGGTCCAAGTATGACATTAATGAGTGGTGCAACTCTGTGCCTTGTGCAGAAAAGTACAAAATATTTTTACTTTAATGTGCATCTAAAAACCACAAACCACAATGGTTTTGCTGGTAGAGCATCACTAGCATTGTATCTCGTATTGTATCTTGTGTAATCACTAGCTTAGACAGGTTACAGGCTTCTCAAAAGTCCATATATTTAACCAGACACTCTTTAGACAGACTGCCTGTTCATTTTTGAATTATAAAATGTGATTAACTTTTAAAGCACTGACAGTTATATCATTGAACTGATGATCACTATGTATCTGCATGTAGTCTGAGACCATCCAGTACTACCCAGTGACATTAAACTTAGTTTATTTACAGAAAAGAAATAAGAAAAAAACTGTTCACTGTGTGGTCAATTTATGTTTTGTATTTCGGGTGAACTGACACTTTAATTGGAACATATCAGCCATTTTGTCTTGTCATTTTTATATCTTCATGAGTCATGTAAGGCCATCAACAAAATATCTGACATCAGTACAACATGTGAAGCACTTGTATTAGTAAAAAGGAAAAGGAATTGAGTTGAGTGACACAAATATTTGGCTATGCTACAGCAGAAAGTAAGGACAGTATAAATGTATGTGAGTGACTGCTAAGTCTGCCCCCCCCCCCTAATATCTTATATCTTATTGTGTCTTTTGAATTAGATCATTTTGTGTTTGTGTGATTTAATTATGAGAGATACAGAGGGGCACTTAGTGAGTCAAAGTATGTGTTTGGGGGCTGACTTAATTTACAACTGAGTCTTCACCTTTTATAGCAACACTCAAGAAATGACTGAGGAGGTCTTTCAAAATAAAAAGGCTAACTGGTAATTAATCAAAAGAATTCTGTTGTTTACATTTTATTTTTTATTATTGTTTATAAAAATATAAGATCCTTGGCTCTCAAAAGATGTTTTTATCATGTAGTTTTTATATTTTCTTCCAGATAGAATACAATGTATAGTATTTTGTGTATATATATTTGTGTGTTAATGTGCTATTCGTTATACTTATATACACATCTATGAAATATTTTAGCAAACCACACAGTGAATCAGAGCAGCTTTGAGTTAGTAAAATCACTCTGAATTATTTTTCCAGAAATAATA